TCCACTGGCCTTTTCCGAACTTATTATATCCCTGTGTGGATCGCCTTAAAAGCGAGAGTCGGGTTTCTAACACCTGTCTGGCCATATTCTTGTTGGCTTGGCTGAACGCTCTCACTTTCTCAAAGGCCGAACTATGGTCCTACTGCTGTATGTGGTCGTACACGAGAGACGACTTTTCACTGAGGTTGACTGCCAGCTGGTGTACACATGGATATTTGTTCAGAGGCATTTACTCGTTTTACCAGCATACACTGTATCAGCATTTCGACATGCTGCGCTGCAGACGACAGTTGGTTTCTCTGTCTCTGACAATGGAGCTTTGAATACTATAATATACTGTGTACTTTAGAATTTCTGTCAAAGTGCCACTAAACGTCCTTTACATAAGAAATTACGAGCCAGAAGGTGGGCATCTATCCTCGCGCAGGAGCAAAATGAGACTTCTTGAGACGCATGCATATGACGGACTCTGGACGACCGTTTACCGTACTTTTAATGTTTAAATATTTTAGGTAAGAAATTTTTTCGTAGCCGCAGCCGTTAGGGGTTAGAGGTTAGTGTCAGGGGTTAGGGTTAGAGATGAAGGTTAGGGTTTAGTGTTAGACCCCCTATTACCGCTGGTCCTGTAAGAGAGGCAACTGGGCTTTTCTACGCAGACGCGGCTACGAAATAAGACCCGATCATATTTCATCTTCTCCTTTCTGCCGTTGTCGTCGCCACAATGTGTTTGAATGTGTTGGAGAAGGGTTCCGACACTGCGTTTGTAACCAACGCGCAGTTGCTGCCAAAATGGAGGACGTGCCAAAAGGTAGTCGCTTAACGGTAGACCGCCTGTCTGCTATCTTTTCAACTTGTACATGAAGAAAGGTCGACTGATTGTTTACTGATTCCTCTACAGTATGCCGGATCTTCGAAAAGTAATATTACAAGAGGCAAAACGTTTAGATGGCAATAAATTGGTTAAGAGTCGAGGCACGTGTTTCGTCAATATTTCTGTCATTGTGGCTATTCCACGGTCGTTAATCTACATGTTATTTGAGGTTTTGTTGCCGGGCGTGGTTTAGTGCAAAATGTGTGTGTGCGCGCAGTATGGTTGTTACGCAGCCACTTATCTATGAATTCGGCAGCCCCACATTCGACACAGACTTTTCATAAATTGCGTCCTAATTGCCTGATTGTTCGCGTACAAGTCATTAGCGCTGTTGGTGACGAACATGATTATGATCCGGCTGTCTAGGACTATTTCACGCGCTAGTCTTCCTTCACGCGTCCCGTACGCAGATAATGGCTCCGCCTAATCTAAAAAGCCTCGAATTAACTGATCGCGGCGAGTGAGCAGTGGTCACCTCGCCCTGCGTCAATTGGCTAAGGTAGGAGATTAACTAGAAAATCGATAAATTGGACGCATTTATAAATGAACGAGACAGAGATTAACCTCTGCATAGTCAGGCTACAAGCACAGGATTATCGCTCACAGCTAGCTGAGAGTGCAATGCCTGTTAACTGTATGTAAGCGGTTGGACGCCTCGGTCGGTGCCGAAAATCACTGGTACGTTGATTTTGCCATCATTTTTAACATTCAAATTTTGCAAAAAATCGCTTTTTAATCCAAATATAAGTTAAGACGAAACTGCGGAAACTTCCTTGTACTTCCTGGATGCCCAGATTCCTCGTCACCTTCCCCGGCGAAAAACCGTTGAATAATCCGGTAGCATTTCATTGCTACAGATGTTCCTGAAGTGGCTCATTTCATGAGCGGCAGCACTTTTCCATGGACACGTGTCACGAAGATTCCATCATTCAATTAGCCTCTCTTATTCAAAAGGATTGTCGTGCAATGCGGAGAGACTTTGAGAGAACATCGAAATTACACTAGAGACGAGGGCGTTTGGGCTGCGCACAAGACCTAACCTGGCGGCATGTGGACCAGACTGCTAGTTGTGCCATTAGCCAATGCATTGGTGCTTTCGGTTAAAAAATGTCCTAATAGATTTTACGGATTTCTCAAACAGTCGTCGTGTTTAGACGTTCTTTCAAGTGGTCTCACACAGCGGACTTCCACACCATATAGGCATGCAGATGTTTCTGGTTCGTACAGGGCACTCAGTGATAAATTGTTGTAGTTAGAGACGACTGAGGGAACAAAGTGTACCTTTCTCGAACCCTCACCACGAACTCAGGCCTAGCTTGCTTCGTACGGCAACAAAGCATCCGAGTTTCCGCCTTTGAGACGGCAGAAAAAAGAACTTTATTCGACCCACCCTGTCTTCTGCCCGCATACAGACTGCAGTTGTATTCGATGGCGGCGTCGGCGTCGCCGAAATGACGCCTTTCGGCAAATGACCAATGATCGCAACAGTGCACAAGTGCATTGGCGTTGCTGGCTAAACATGGTTGGACATGGTTGAATCTGGGGGGGGGGGGGGGGGGGGGAGGCGTTCGTGACTGTCACTGAGCCGAGCGCATCATTTCATTGCGTCGGTTCATCCGAAGGGTGAGGCAGAAGACTTTGCCAACGTCGGTGGGTCTAGGGTAAATGAATCAGCGTTCAGGTTGTGCTCAGTAAATTCATCACTTCCTGTGCAACCGGTCGACGTGGTTCAGAAGTAAGTTTGGTCGCGCATCTCCGCGACAGCAGTTATTCTACTACACAATTATCTCCCAATCAGACCCATGCAAGTGATCTCTTTATCACAGATCCAATCGGTAGAAGCACAGAATCATTGTGCTCCTCATACCCGGGGGGGGGGTCTTGGCGCTCTCGTTTGAGGGCCCATATCGCACAGACTGTCACATTCGTCTTGTCTTATCTCGGAAAATCTCCTGCAAAATCATACCGCACGTAATCCGCGTCACATACGCTTTCAGCGAACCGAAATTCGCCTGTCTGGATTATGCTTTTCCATCACACTGCAACACCACTTAACGCGGTACCTCTGTATCTGCGAGGAGAACCAAGTTGCAAGTGGTCTACGTCGAATACCCAGACCTACATACAGTGCTTATTTGGTTGTTATTCCACGTCCACGAGTCCCAGGTTCATCTGCCTGAAAAGTGGGATTCTGAGAGCACTGGTAAAACCTCCACTAAGTGCTCATTCCCTCAATAAGGATAGAACATGTGTGACTTTCGTCTTGGACCAAACTATCACTCCTTCTGTCTGTTTGTGTAGAGAAGGGATTGATTTTCAACAAGCAGTCTGGTTAAGTCTTCCCAGCAGACAAAAGGACGTCAACATGGCGACTCGCAGACGCATTCAGCCATCAGTGCCTAACTTCGATCGATGACGTTGACTGGGTTGCACGCGCATGATCGGGGCAGCCCTTAGAGTACAGTTCAGTTTACCCAGGAGCTTCTACCCGGCCGCTCCGAGTCGTGGACGTACTGAGCCAGCGGAATGTGATTTCGATGGATGACGCCATTTATCTCAACTGCGATTAGTTGTCAGTCGTTTCTTTGGGAAACCAATGACACTGCAGAATTTTTACGGGCTGAATGCCGAAGGTCATCACATTGGCAATGAGCTTTCCCACTCCATATTGCAATTAATGATTGGTTCTTAATATACTACCGCCAGACCTAAATATTTGATATAAAAGCTCGTTTTTCGTACGGCATCAGCCGTCTGCAAAAATTAGAGTAAATAAAAACGACTACTTAAGCAGTATGTACTTTCTTCATTAACTTTCGAGGCCTTAAGAAATTCAGTTATATTTTTCATAGAAAGCATGGACAAAATATTCTTTCTTGTGCTCATTTGGTGGCAAATTTAGTCTTTTTCATATGTTATATTTGGAGATAGAGAGAGAGAGATTGTGTAAATTTCGGTCTTGAAACGTTTTTACAAGTTCCCGAATAGCGTTTTGCCTTACCAGCCGTTAGTATTTCAGTATGAGTTCCGTCAAGGGAATGTGCGCGGACCCGGTTGTATAGTTTATGATAGGCACTGAGGAACGTGCTTATGCGGTGCTGTGTGAATGGACATTTCACGATCTTAAAAATCTCATAATGAGGAACTTTTTTAAAACCAAAAGATAGTCTCTCATAAAGTAAAATATTGGAGCAGACGACATTTACCATCAATGGCGTAGAAGAAGAACATCGCATGCACGTTTTCCAAAAAAATATCTGGAAAATCTTTAGAGAAATCGAAAAGAAATGGCGAAATTTCATACAACTTGAGTGGTAATCTTTACAGAGTGTAGTTTCTTTGCTCGGTCCAAAGCCGGGATCCTGGCGTGACTGTAACATCTTCGGATTATGCTACATCACTGTTAGCCGTAAAGTGGCACCCAAGTATTACTTTTGAATCGATACCATGAGATAGCACAACTATTGTGTAAGCAGTGCACTACAGTCACAAAACCACTCATCCTAGGGAGAGTTCTCGGATGAAGAACAATGTCTAAAAATGCATGTTCGGATAACAACAATTGCTCTGTCGATAACAGTCCATGATGTTCTGAGTTCTATATGTCTTCTGACCAGAATGGCGTCAAATGTTAGCACTCGATGCCGAGCTTCATATTGTTGTTATTGCAAATCACTGAGGACAGACTCAGTACATAAGTGATTTTAGTTCTGAAAACACCTTTCTCTTCTCCCGTGCAAATAAATATAGTTCGACACTTTCATATTGTGTTGAATGACTCAAGTAACTCGATTTCTATCTTGACGGTTATCTTATCCTTTTAAAATGAACAGGGAACCAGAACAAAGGACGGCAACTACTACCTTTCACTTCGAACGTAATGGTAAAGAGGGGATGGATTCAAGTCTTAACAGTCCTAATTTTCCTCATGCTGCTTTCATATAATTTTCTGGAAGTCACATTACGACCCTCAAAGGTCCTTCACAAATTAGGCCTTTACTACTCGAGGCGACGACCATTGGAACTACAGAGCTTTGTAGTGGATAGTGGTCATACCAAAAAGAAGCGACAAAGACTTCCAAAACTGGAAAAGATAGGTTGGCCGAGACGAGAATTCTTGCCTCTTCCGATGGGTGCTCCAGGCAGTCGTCAATTACCCCTGGAACCCCAGTTGAGTCGTGGACAGATGCGCACCACTTGGAAACTATTCCGCATCTTCGTCAATGCAATGGAGGAGCTCGGTTTTAGTGACAGATGGATGCTCTATGGTGGCAGTCTGCTTGGATCTCTCCGTCATCATGACATCATCCCCTGGGACGATGACCTTGATGTCCTCGTCGACAGGGAGGTCAGATCAGCGCTGTGGGAGAAGATTAGCACGCTTGGGCCGGAGATCATCATCCAGGAGGGTGGACAGAGGGATAAGATTTACGCAAAATTAATTGAGCCCAACAATACCCTGCTGGATGTTGACGGAAGTCGCAAATTGAGTGGGTTTGATTGGGCCTGGCCCTTCGTGGACATCGGTTATTACAGGTCTAACGTCACCCACATCAGCGAACTTGCACCCGCATATGGGCGTCACTACATCTACGCAAAGTCGGATGTTTTTCCGCTGCTATTCAGACCATTTTACAAGAACTGGGTTCCAGCGCCAAGAAACGCCCTTCTTTTTACACAGCAAACCTATCCTGGAAGCGTCAATTGCAGCGCTCTAGCTTATTCTCATCCCTTTGAGACCGATCTAGAAAGCAGGACAGTACCATGCATTGAAATGGCGGACAGGTATGCCTTTGTGCAGCGAAGCCCTCTCCTCAGACCTGTCCAGGACGAGGACGATAGTCCGGAGGAGTTAACTTGGGTGCGAGAGCGGTTAGTTCTCGGTGGCAAGGTCATCCACGAAATCCATCTGGTTGCACCTCGAGGAGAAGCCCAAGTTGACACCTACGTGCTACGTGCGAGACCCCAGCCCTGATCTCGAGTGCTATAGGACAGTTCACCTGACTTCAAACCAGCGTCACCCTATGTATTATCTATTCCCACTCTAAAGTAGGACCCTTAACTCGCATTTTCTAAAGGACGCGCCTTATATTTGTCTGTGCAGTATAGATTATAAGTGCTGGCTACACCTTTCAGCGACATTTAACAGCATACGGCTGCACAAATTTGCAAATTTGAACTTTCGAGGTGGACCTGGATTTCATAGGCGAACTCTTAAACTGTTACTGACAGAACATAGAAAAGTTCGGTGCGCGATCCTGAAGCTTGGACTTCTGTCTGAAAATTTGCCCTGCATACATCAACTGCTTCACTTATTTGCTTTCATCCACTTTTTTCTCCTTTTCAGTCAAACAATTACGTTTTACGAATCATTTAAAATCATGACACTGTATAATGTTCCTTTGACGTTTAACCGTATTTCGGACTTTTTGTTGTTCAGTGTAAATTATTTACTACAACAACCGTGGGAACAACATAGAAGCCACAATTTTTCCTCTACTAACAATCGACTGTGGGCTGTGGGTTGAACGAAGTCACTGTTAAATGAAAATCTCTTGGAATAAACGAATGTAGAGAATGTGTGTCTTTTTAATTCCTTCTGTTAAATCGTTCTAATCATTTTTATCTTCTGCCAATAACCTACGTCCATGTCGCCTAAGTGACCAGCACAGGATTGGCGGATAGAAAGCGTGAGGGACAGGGCTTGTCAAGCCTGCATGCATACAGCCGTTCTACTGAAGGGGACTCAGTGTCTTCGAAGGGGGCTGAAATAGGAAACAATCGAGATCATTGCGTTTATGAATAGCTATATACGCCTACGCTAGCTTGTCTCGCCCGAACGCAAAGCTTGATACTCGAATTAGCGGTCCTGGACTCACCCCTGGGGGTCACTCCAGATCCGTCTGGCCTGCAATTATGGAGGCGCTCAATCGCACCACAAAACCATGAAATGCAAATCCAACCATGTATTTGGGTTTCAGAGCAAACGCCACATGCTCCAATTTGTCCTCTGCCCTCATGTGGAGCTCGGCGGCTTTCGATGGTGGCTTCAGCGTTCCCAATTGACGCTTTTTGCCAAAAGACCAATGAAATTGTTAAAGCGCGAGTGCATCGATATTGTTGGCTGAATGTAATTGGACGTGAAGAACGAACGAGTTTTAATAGGGGTGGTTTGTGTGTATCACGCAGCCGAGTGCATCATTCGGTACGTTTGTAAATATTACCAGTGGAGGAGAAGGCCTTGAGGACGTCGGCTGGTTTACGGAGGGAGAACTAGCGTTTGGACTGGCCTTAACACACTAACTGCCGTCACCCCACGCCAGTGGTGCTAGCGTAAGTTTAGCCACACCATTTCTGGGACAAATCTCATGGAGTCGAAGTGGGCATTCTAACAGGTTGTTGAATGATCAGTTTATGAACAGATCTGTGCGTGTATGCAAAAAGGGCAGAGTTCAGCTTACTGCTATTATCATTTTTGTGCTGCGCATTTAGAAGTCACTTTTTAAAAATGCATACAACTACGAGGAAATGTACGATATTTGGATCCATCAAGTGCAATTAAGCTCTCCTGCGAAGAAAAATTGATGAACACGCAAGAAACTGTTGTGAGGATTATGTCCAACCTTTGCGCATTGTATGCTGTTGGTATCTGTGAGCATAGCTGCTAGCATCCAATTGGTGTTTAGCAGTTTTCAATGAAATGGTCACACGTCAAACGATCCGTGCGTGGGACGGGATCAGAAGGGGATCTTTTTATGCCATGAAAGGATTTATCGGAAATCCGCGTCCTCCGCCGATCTTTTGATATGGGAATTCTCAACACTTTTGAGTGAAGACCCAAATCGCACAGATTGTCTCCCCTTAGTCTCGATCGGTTACTACTCAGCTAGACACCTCTTTGACCGAAAAGTTTCGCAACACACAGTCTGCATCATGTCAGCCTGTTCCGGAAGTGGACTTCATCTGAACCGTTCAGACTCCCTCCCCCACGGCATTGCAACAACATCCAATCCGAATTGGCTGACAAGTTGTATGCTTCTAACTGATGACTGTCCTCATACCTGAGTTTAAAACATGCGGTGCATGTTTGACTATTACGTCACGTCCATGACAAACCTCCCAGAAGTCGGTATTCGTGGATCTGACCGAGAGTTTGACTGTCGGTTCCGACGATGTCCACCTTTGTGCTTCACAGCAAGGCGGAGCAGGGACGGTGACCTATGCCGGTGTCAAGACAGAGTCCAGAAGACTGGAGGCGTGGGAGAAAGCAAGCGTCTGGCATGGCCGGAGCGGCATCTAGGCGTGCAACCAATCCCCTTGTCCACACGCAAAAATGATCAGGGCTTTTCGGCAGCAACAGCCACACCCACCACAGAGGTCCAGAGCGATGAGAATGACCGGGCAGCCATACCTAGCGCAGGCGCATCCACCGACGGGGAACCAGGTATCAGAGAACTGCCAGCGCATACCAGGCTAAAATGGCCAGTTCGTGGATCTAAAGCAGGCGGCACAAGAGTTATCGTAACGCTTTGGCGGGGAAAGGGCGCATTTTCTCGCAAAATACCCAAACAACACCTAGAACGAGTTTAGTAAGCCTTAAGCTTTTAGCTCGCCTGGGTGAACGCGAATTATTTGCACCAAGATGGTGTTTGGTTTTTGTGATAAACTCATAAGCATGTCGGCAATTGTGACCTGGAGAAGTGGCCTTACTGACTTTCAACAGATTTCAAACAGGACTTGATCATTTAACTGATCTTTATTCGCAGTGTGACCGTCATCAACTCTGAAGTTAAACGGAAGTTGGTGCTGTGTCTTGCAGTCGAGTCAGATCTGAGAAGACGGCTTTACAGTGACTTGATTTTTTATCGATCTTGCCTACTGAATGTGTCGACCAACATGTACTGGGTCCTAAGAACAGATCCTGATTGACTGACGATGGTAAGTGAACCAGAAGAGACAATTTCGGACTGTGCTGGTCTTGCCGATAACGCAGGTCTAGGATTCCGGTCTCAAATTTCACTTGCGTTTGTCATTTCCGAGCCAAATACCACGAGGGACGCATTTATATTTGTCCCTTTGTGTGCATTTTCAACTCTCAGCATTGTGTACAGAGAAGTCGTAAATTAAGAAGAATCACAGTTAGAGTACACCCGGTGCTAGGCTGAGTATCGTTTTGGTAGAATCTATTCTCTCTCCTGCTCTCCTAAGCCTGCACACATTACACATTTTCGTAACTGGCCTGTTATTTGTTCCTAGTTATTAACAGGGAGCCTGAAGGAAGGACAGAAGTACCACCATAAATGCGGGCGCAATGGACGCAAGAAGGAGGATTCAACTCACTGCCGTCCTCTTGCTGATTGCTCTCATAATGCTTTCCTATCAGCTTCTGGAGATCTACATGAGACCCTTAAATGTCCGCCGCAAATTACACCTTTCCAACATGAACGAACGACGATTGGACCTACTGAGTTTTGTAGTTGATAGTGGTTACACAGAAGTGAAGCGAAAAAGACTTCCGAATCTGGAGATGATAAGTTGGCCGGAGCAAGACTTCTTACCTGTGCCGATGGGTACTCAGGGTAGTCATCAAGTGCCTCTGGAAGTCAAATTCAGTCGTGGACAGATGCACACCCTGTGGAAACTTTTCCGCACATTTATGAATGTCATGGAGGCGACCGGTTTAAATGACAGATGGATGCTATACGGTGGCACGCTGCTGGGATCTTTTCGCCATCATGACATTATCCCCTGGGATGACGATCTTGATCTTCTCGTTGACGTTGAGGCTAGACCGGCGCTGAGGGAGAAGTTGCGTTTGCTGAAACCTGACATTCTTATTCAAGAGGGCGGACAAAGGGACAAGATTTACGCAAAATTAATTGAGCCGAGCAATACAACTCAGGACGTTGACGGCAGTCGTCGGCTTAGCGTCTACAGCTGGGGTTGGCCCTACCTGGACGTTAGTTACTACTCCTCCAACCTGACGCACATCGAAGAACTTGCATGGTCCTACGGCCGGTCTTATAGCTACGCCAAATCGGACATCTTTCCAATGCTCTTCAGACCATTCAACAAGCACTGGGTTCCCACGCCAAGAAACACCTTTGCTGTTCTGCTGCAGACCTACCCTGGAAACGACCTTTGCTCGGCTTCTGGCTACTCGCACATCTTTGAGAATGGAACTGAAAGTCGGACAGTGTCGTGCAAAGAACTAGCGGACAGGTATGCCTTCGTTGAACATAGCTCTCTTTACAACCCTGTCCAGGACGAGGATGTCGGATCGGAAGAATTAACTTGGATCCGCGAGCGGCTAGTACGCGGTGGCAAGGTCATTCACGATATCCACTTGGTTGCACCAAGGGTAGACGCCACTGTGGACACCTATAGTCTGCGTGCAAAGTCCCGGACGTGACCACGTTGGTGAACTTTGCAATGTTTTTTCTACTGTACTTTAAAGCAACCAATACAGCAAGCTGTGATTTGATGTCTGATTGCGGTAGATTTTTTGAAAAAATTCAGAATGCTTCAAAATATTTTCTTGACAGAAGTAGCTATGCTTTTATAACGACAACAGACCTCCGGGTACGGCAGTACAGCATTAAGTCATGATGATCCGGATTTTCTTCCACGCTTGGGCGGCGTTTGTAGCTTTCAAGTTGATTCGGTCTTTTTTACTCTTCGTGTGAACCGATCGTCAGTCCAAACCATTAGAAAAAACCGCTTAGAATTCGAGGTGATTTAAACAACGGGGGACAGTTCAGGGCGACAGTTCGACCGTCGCACTCGACGATGTCCACCGTGCGCTCTACAGCAGGCACGGTAAACTTCATGGGAATTAGTTTATAGTGAGAGTAGATTTGCGCAGCATCTATCGCACTCTTCCTCCTCCCACACCTGGGCCCGATGTCAAGACAAAGTCGAGAAGATCGGAGACGAGGGAGGGTGCACATGGTTGGCGCAAGCGGACCTGCACCTAGGCGTCCCATCACATCCGCAGGTCCACAAAAAACACATATCCAGGATGTTTACCAACAGGATCAGAGCAACGGGTCAGAAGGACGAGGCTGACTGGGCAGCTATGCTCACGACCTGTACACCCAGCGGGAAGGCGAGCGCACCTATCGGTGCCAGCGAACGCTAGACTGTGAGACTCGCGGTTTGCTGAGTAACGGCATAGCAGACGTTTACAGACCTTAAGGCCATAATTCAGGGTAATCATGCTATCGTATGCTGGAATACTTACCTAGGCAGCAGATTTACTTTTTACCTGATATCGCCTGTCGCAAACTGTCAAAGTCTGGCTCTAAGTAATAATAGAAGAGACAGAAGGCCACAGCATTAAAGGTATAATCGGAAACATATTGCTAGGAAATACGCCCGCCCAGGGTTCACCGATCCATTCTTCCAACCAACTATTTACCGTCTCATGAGCTTCGCGTAGACTTCGAAATCTAAAGAATGAGGTATATGGCGTAGGCACAAGAGTACACGAGGTCTACGATCTCCGCACAGCTGACTGGACATGAGTCCGTAATTCAGCTGTAGGACGCTTGATGTTCAATGACTGAAGGACACCAATCCTGCTCCCGAAATTCGGACCTGGTTTCATTACTGTCGGAGACTAGTTAAGGCCACGACGTGTGCCACAACGTGGGCATATGATGAAGGGCGGGAGGAACAGTTAATTACCGGTCAAATGTTTTCTTTGAACCTCAAAGAGAGTCTAAATTTACGAAGTTGAGGATAACCTGCGAAAAGCAAGCAAAACTCAAATGCGAGTACAAGGATTAAAAGGAATAATGGAGGGAAAGAGAAGGGCAGCAAAAGAAACATGCAGAGATGGTGGCGGTTGTAAAAATGTTAAAGCCGAGGAACCAGCGATCGGAAATTTGTTGGAGGCATTTGAAAGTATCGTACTTAATGTCCTTAAAACAAGGCATTGAAGGGCATTAACTAATGAGCAGCAGAATTTATGAACGAGGCAAAAGTGTACGGAAACGTAGTCTGCCGAACCTGTCCTGAATGCTCCACCACCACCACCACCACCACCACCACCACCACC